TTGGTTTTTGCTGCCTTCCTACTGAATGCCTGAATCCCTGCTGTAGGCCCAAAGGTGAGGAACCAAGGTTTGTCAGTTAACTGTCAGTTTTCCTGTCTTCAGAGTCAGGATGTTGTGGGTTGAATAATGGTCAACCAAAGAGATGAAGTTTTAATTCCTAGAACTTGTAAACATTACTTTACTTGGGAGAAGAGCTTCTGCAGATGTGATTAAGTCAAGGATTTTGAGATGGGGAGATTATCATGGATTACCTGGTTGGATCCTAAATCCAATCATGAGTGTCTGCATAAATTAGAAGTGGGTGAGATCTGATGCAGACACACAGTGGAAAGGAGATGTGAAGATGGTGGAGATTAAAGTGATGTGGCCACAAGCCCCAGATTTACTGGGGCAGCCACCAAGAGCCAGAAGTGGCAAGGAACAATTCACCCTTCAAGCACCCAGGAGGAGGCAGCCCTGCTGGATTATTGCCATCTGGCCTCCAGAACTGGGGGAGAATACACATCTGCTGCTCTAAGCCACTAAGTTGGTGGTAATTTGTTACAGCAGCCACAGAAAACAAATACACAGGTGACAGCAGGCGAGTGTCCAGTCCTGCAGGGGCCCACACCAGCCCCCAGATCTGGCCCTGGAAACACAGAAAGAGGAGCATCCTTCCATTCTGGCTGTTCAGTCCTTTCCTCCAACTCTTCACCAGACTCCCACATCTCCACCTTGCCTCATTCTGCCTGTTCAACTATTTATTAAGAAGTTGCTGTGCACCAAGCACTGTGCCAAGTATGGAGGAGCAGCTGATAAAACTATCCTCAGGAACTGAATATAGAGACTGTTTCGGGTTTAGATCAGCCTACACTAGAAACTGGGCTTGGGGGGATTCCACCTTAGTCCCTCAGGCCTTGCTTAACTGGGCTTTGGAGGGGAAGGTGGCTTCCCCCACACCTGCCCACACTGATGAGGCGGTCCCATAGTTCCCACCATCATGACATGGACTAGTCATACCTGAGGGCCCTGAGTTCTCTATTGGCTCACCATTGATCTTTGCTTATCACATACAAAACTCATAAAGGAACTGGGTTTTCCCCAAACTGAGTCAAAACATGAATGATGGTGAGGTGAATTTCCGAGGTATGAATTCAGGTACCAGCAGATATTTCCTTTTATTTTTTCTTTAGAGACAGGTCAGTGGCTCAATCATAGCTCACCTCAAACTGCTGGACTCAAGTGATCCTCCCACTTTAGCTTCCCAAGTAGCTGGGACTACAAGCGCATGCCACCACACCTGGCTAATTTTATTTAAACAATTTGTAGAGATGACGTATTAGTCTGTTGTCACACTGCTATAAAGAAAGACCGAGATTGGATAATTTATAAAGGAAAGAGGTTCAATTGACTCACAGTTTTGCATTGGTGGGGAGGCCTCTTAACTTACAATCATGGTAGAAGGTAAAGGAGTAGCAGGCACATTTTTCACAGGTTGGCAGGATGGAGTGAGTGCAAGCAGGGAAAATGCCAGGTGTTTATAAAACCATTAGATCAGATCTGTTGAGACTCACTATCACGAGAACAGCATGGGGGAAACTGCCCCATGATGCAATTAACTCCACCTGGTCCCGCCCTTGACACCTGTGGATTATGAGGATTATAATTCAAGATGAGATTTGGTTAGGAACACAGAGCCAAATCATATGAGCTGGGGTCTTGCTATGTTGACCATTCTGGTCTTGAACTCCTAGGCTCATGCAATCCTCCTGCCTCAGCCTCCCAAAGTGCTGGAATTACAGATGTGAGCCACTGTACCTGGCATCCAGCAGATATTTCTACTGCATTTCTCCAGGAATGAGTGGGTTGGAGATGAGGAGATTCTGGAACTTCTGTCGTTTCCTCCCAACAATTCTGGGACTCATGTTCACTCTCCTGGGATAGGGGAAATTGACTTAAAGTGATTTTCAAAGGGCATTTCTGTGGAAATAGTTAATATATGTACATGCATACCAAATACACACACATTTGTGTACACTACATACCATGGAGGAAAGCCAGTCCTGGTATAAATTTTACAACTTCAAAATAATAATAGAATTATGATATCATTTTAATACCACTTTCAATTAAAAATTTTAATAGACTATTTTTTAGAGGTTTTAAGTTTACAGAAAATCTAGGTAGACAACACAGAAAATTCCCATTAACCCCTGTATTCATCTGCTAGGACTTCCATAGCAAAATACTACAGGCTGAGCAGCTTAAACAACAGAAATTTGTTTTCCCACAGTTCTGGAGGCTAGAAGACCAAGGTGCCCACAAGTTTGGTTTCTGGTGATGCCTATTTACTTTACTTGCAGATGGCCACCTTCTCCCTGTGTCCTCACATGGCCTTTCCTCTGAGCACTTGGAGGCCAGAGAGTGAGCTCTGGTGTGTATTCCTCTACCTAGGAGACACCAGTCTTACTGAATTAGGGCCTCAGCCTTATGATCTCATTTAACCCTCATTGTCTCCCTAAAGCCTTTAGGTGACTAGATGTGAGGGTGGAGCCCTGAGACTGCATTACCTTCTTTCTGTCTGCTCTTGTAGTGGGAGGACACGTCCAGGGAGCTGCTGTTCATTGAGCTGCACTCACACATGAAGATACAGACTTTGTGAAGAAGGAATTGGCAACACTGAAACCTCCAGAACAAAGGCTATCACTAAGGTATGTGCTATAAGCATCCTTGGGGAAGAAGGGCATGAGTAGGCAGGGGCATTTTTATATCTTTAGAGGATAGGCAAAGGGAAGACCACAATTTCAGAGGTCTAGCACAAGAGGTAAATTTTTTTTTTAAATCTTTGCATTTCCTCAGAGCCCACAAACATGCATGTGTATTAGTAGCTGCCCATGCTCTGGCTGAGGGGAGCAAGCCATGCCATTTTCTCTGCAGGGCTTTAGGAGAGAGTGAAAACTCCTAGAAGAGTGGGAAGGTAGATAAGAAAAGATCCTTTATAATACCGGGCATCTGGGAAGATCTGTCCTTGTGCTGGGTACAGGGCTTCTATCAGGTAACTGAAGGACACCTGAGTACTGTTCTTAAGGAAGGAAGCCAGCAAGCAAACTTTCATATAACTAAAGATGTTGCTGGTGGGTGCCTGTAGTCCCAGCTACTCAAGAGCCTGGGGCAGAAGGACTGATTGCGCCCAGGAGTTAGGGGCTGCAGTGCACTGTGATCACACCTGTGTATAACCACTGCACTCCAGCTTGGGCAACATAGTGAGACCCTGTCTCTATAAAAAATAAATAAATTGCTGCTTGCTTGTGCTTTGAAATCATAGAAAGGTAGCAGAGTGGATAGGGATGTCTGAATGTAAAGCAAACAAATTCCTTGGAAAAATATGTCTGGATTGAAATTGCATTGAATGTATATATCAATTTGAGAAGAATTGTCAAGTTGTAAAATTTTTATGTAACTGAATTGCATTTTTATTAGGTTTTCCCCTAGTAATGCTAGTAATTTTCATTGCTAGTATAATTGGGATCATTTTTCTATTGCATTTATAAAATCATTTTTTTTTTTGGTGCTTAGGAAAGCAATTAAAAGAATAAACTGATGAATATCATGCAGATATATCTCTAAAACAGTAAGGACAATACAAAATGAGAAACAATTTATCATTGATGTAAGTTAAAAGTAAACACACAAAAATATATATTGTTTATGGATGTATATAAATATGTAAAAGTACAGGGGGAATTTGTTTGCAATGACACACACCAAATTGGCTTTAGTTGTTTATGTTATGGGGATAAGTTGTGTAGTTAAAGGGAACATTAGCTTCATCTCTATTGCATCAGAAATAAAAAAGAGAAGAGGGATGGAAGGAAGAGAGGGTATGAGGGAGGGAGAAAAGAAGGGAGAAAAAAAGGAGGAAGGAAGGAAAAAAAAAGAATCCAAAGTATTGTGAGAATATGTTAACAGCTGCTAATTCTAGGTGATGGAACTACAGGTATTTACATTTTCATTGTAAGTTTTGGCTTTTCTCATCTCAGCTGACTCCCGTGTACTAGCTTGGGTTTAGGTAACAAAATACAATAGACTGAGTGGCTTAAACAACAGAAAGTGTTGTTTAACATACTTCTAAAGGCTGAAAGTCCAAGATCAAACTGCCAATGCGGTTGATTTCTGGTGAGGCTTCTCTACCTGGCTTGCTGATTTCAGCCTTCTTGCTGTGTCCTCACATGGTCTTTACTCCATGCACAAGAGGAGCGAAATTTCTTGTGTCTCTTTCTCTTCTATTAAGGACACTAGCTCTATCAGATTAGGGCCCTGCCTTTTTTGGTTTCGTTTCTGTTTTCTTTCTTTTTTTTTTTGAGACAGAGTCTCACTTTGTCACCCAGGCTGGAGTACAGTGGCGTGATCTTGACCCATTGCAATCCCCACTTCCTGGGTTCAAGCAATTCTCGTGCCTCAGCCTCCCAAGCTAGCTTGGATTACAGGCGTGTGGCACCATACCCGGCTAATTTTTGTAATTTTAGTAGAGACAGGGTTCTGCAGCGTTGGCCAGGCTTGTCTCGAACTCTTGGCCTCAAGTGATCCGCCTACCTCAGCCTTCCATAGTGCTGGGATAAAGGTGTGAGACACTGTGAGAGCCAGGGCCCTGCCTTTATAACCTCATTTAACCTTTTTTTTTTTTTTGAGACAGAGTCTTACTCTGTCACCCAGGCTGGAGTACAGTGGTGCGATCTCGGCTCACGGCAACCTCCGCCTCTTGGGTTCAAGTGATTCTCCTGCCTCAGCCTCCTGAGTAGCTAGGATTACAGGCATGCACCTGCTGCGCCTGGCTAATTTTTGTATTTTTTAGTAGAGACATGGTTTCGCCATGTTTGTCAGGTTGGTCTTGAACCCCTGGCCTCAGGTGACCCGCCCACCTCGGTCTCCCACAGTACAAGGATTACAGGCGTGGGCCACAGCTCCCAGCCTATCATTTAACCTTAATTACCTTTTAAACACCCTATCTCTAAATAGTCACACCCACACCAGGGGTGGAGCACTTCAACGTGTGAATTTGTGCAGGACACAATTCAGTCCATAACATCCCCCTAATTTTTAAAAAATAAAAATGTTTTTAAGGAGTGAGTGTCTTTTATGTGTCTCTGTGACCAGGTCCCGCTGCCTTGATGGATTATACACTTGACCCCAGCATGACAACAATGACCGACTACTACTACCCTGATAGCCTCTCAAGCCCCTGTGATGGGGAACTTATCCAGAGAAACGACAAGTTGCTCCTTGCTGTCTTTTATTGCCTCCTGTTTGTATTCAGTCTTCTGGGAAACAGCCTGGTCATCCTGGTCCTTGTGGTCTGCAAGAAGCTGAGGAACATCACAGACATATACCTCTTGAACCTAGCCCTGTCTGACCTGCTTTTTGTCTTCTCCTTCCCCTTTCAGACCTACTATCAGCTGGATCAGTGGGTGTTTGGGACTGTAATGTGCAAAGTGGTGTCTGGCTTTTATTACCTTGGCTTCTACAGCAGCATGTTTTTCATCACCCTCATGAGTGTGGACAGGTACCTGGCTGTTGTCCATGCCGTGTATGCCATAAAAGTGAGGACGATCAGGATGGGCACAACCCTGAGCCTGGCAGTATGGCTAACTGCCATTATGGCTACCATCCCATTGCTAGTGTTTTACCAAGTGGCCTCTGAAGATGGTGTTCTACAGTGTTATTCATTTTACAATCAACAGACTTTGAAGTGGAAGATCTTCACCAACTTTGAAATGAACATTTTAGGCTTGTTGATCCCATTCACCATCTTTATGTTCTGCTACATTAAAATCTTGCACCAGCTGAAGAGGTGTCAAAACCACAACAAGACCAAGGCCATCAGGTTGGTGCTCATTGTGGTCATTGCATCTTTACTTTTCTGGGTCCCATTCAACGTGGTTCTTTTCCTCACTTCCTTGCACAGTATGCACATCTTGGATGGATGTAGCATAAGTCAACAACTGAATTATGCCACCCATGTCACAGAAATCATTTCCTTTACTCACTGCTGTGTGAACCCTGTTATCTATGCTTTTGTAGGGGAGAAGTTCAAGAAACACCTCTCAGAAATATTTCAGAAAAGTTGCAGCCATATCTTCATCTACCTAGGAAGACAAATGCCTAGGGAGAGCTGTGAAAAGTCATCATCCTGCCAGCAGCACTCCTCCCGTTCCTCCAGCATAGACTACATTTTGTGAGGATCAGTGAAGACTAAATATAAACACATTTTCTTGAATGGCATTCTAGTAGCAGTGAGCAGAGCTGTGGGTGTGAAAGGTTTCCAAAAAAAGTTCAGCATGAAGAATGCTATATATGTTGTTGCCAACACTTGGAACACAATGACTAAAGACATAGTTGTGCATGCCTGGCACAACCTCAAGCCTGTGATTGTGTTTATTGATGATGCTGAACAAGTGGTAACTTTAAAGGATTCTGTGTGCCAAGTGAAAAGAAAAGATGTCTGACCTCCTTACATATGCAAAAATATACCTCCAGAGCCTGTCGGTAGGCTGGAAGAAGTGGATATTGAAGTTTCCAGTTGTCTATTCGTTGACTGATGGTGAAACAGCTGAAGTGATTCTGAATCAAGGTGATTGTGATTACAGTGACAATGAAGATGATGCTGTTAATACTGCATAAAAGTGCCTGTCGATGACATGGTGAAAATATTTGACAGGCTTATGGAAGGACTAGAGCAGCATGCATTCATAACAGAACAAGAAATTATGTCAGCTTATTAAATCAAACAGAGACTTCTAGACAAAAACCATTGCTGATGATGCCTCTAGAGGAGACGTTTAAAAGCCATCAAACAGAATGCCTTCCCTGGAGGACCCACTTCCTCATCCCTAAACTGTGTCTGATGTTTCTTCTCATGTAAGAAATAAAAAATAAAAATAAAATAAAATATATTGGTATGTAACTACAGGAAAAAAATAAAAAATATATAGTGGATGGTAACCTTTCAAAAAAAACTCAGTATCATAAGTAGAGACTGAAAGCTTACCATTATTGGTTGTTGCTATTGTTTAACAGCTGATACAGGTATTCTGCTGATGCTACTGCTGCTTAGTTACCATGAACACGTTGCTTTTTCACTATTAATGGTGTGTCATATTTTTTACTTTTAAGTACTTATGTGTGAGTAAGTGTAAGAAAATGATTGCTTATCAGTAGTATCAACGATTTACTCAATATCTGAATCACCTTGATTCAGAACCATTTCTGCTGTTTCACCATCAGTCAATGAATATCAGTCTCATTATTGATGTCAAAAACTTCAATATCCATTTCTTTCAGCCTACTGCAGACTCTGGAGGTATATTTTTTTGCATATGTAAGGTCAGACTTTTTTTTTTCACTTGACATACAGAATCCTTCAAAGTTACCACTAGTTCAACATCATCAGTAGACACAATCACAGGGTAGAGGTTGTGCCAGGCATGCACAACTACGTCTTTAGTTTTTGTGTTCCAAGTGTTGGCAACAACATATATGGCATACTTCAGATAAGTTCAGAGTCAGGAAAGATGATGGTGCCAAACCGCCACAAATATTCTTTGATTTCTGATGATTCAACATACACAAACTTTGTTGCATGCACAAAAATTATTAAAAATTTTGGCTGGGCACGGTGACTCACCCCTGTAATCCCAGCACTTTGGGAGACCAAGGCGGGTAGATCACTTGAGGTCAGGAGTTCAAGACCAACCTGGCCAATATGGTGAAATTCCATCTCTACTAAAAATACAAAAATTAGCCTTTCTGCCTGTAAATGCCACCGAAGAAGCACCGTTAGAGTCTCTCTTCTCACTGCCATCATGTCTAAGTTAGAGTCTCCTAAAGAACCCGAACAGCTGAGGAAGATCTTCATTGGAGGGTTGAGCTTTGAAACAACCGATGAGAGCCTGAGGAGCCATTTTGAGCAACGGGGATCGCTCACGGACTGTGTGGTAATGAGAGATCCAAACACCAAGTGCTCCAGGGGCTTTGGGTTTGTCACATATGCCACTGTGGACGAGGTGGATGCAGCCATGAATGCAAGGCCACGCAAGGTAGATGGAAGAACTGTGAAACCAAAGAGAGCTGTCTCAAGAGAAGATTCTCAAAGACCAGGTGCACACTTAACTGTGAAAAAGAAATTTGCTGGTGGCATTAAAGAAGACACTGAAGAACATCACCTAAGAGATTATTTTGAACAGTGTGGGAAAATTGAAGTGATTGAAATCATGACTGACCAAGGCAGTGGCAAGAAAAGGGACTTTGCCTTTATAACCTTTGACAACCATGACTCCGTGGATAAGACTGTCATTCAGAAATACCATACTGTGAATGGCCATAACTATGAAGCTAGGAAAGCTTTGTCAAAGCAAGAGATGGCTAGTGCTTCATCCAGCCAAAGAGGTCGAAGTGGTTCTGGATACTTTGGTGGTGGTCGTGGAGGTGATTTTGGTGGGAATGGCAACTTTGGTGGTGGAGGAAACTTCAGTGGTTATGGTGGCTTTGGTGGCAGCCATGGTGGTGGTGGATATGGTGGCAGCGGGGATGGCCATAATGGATTTGGTAATGATGGAAGCAATTTTGGAGGTGGTACAAGCTACAATGATTTTGTCAATTATGACAATCAGTCTTCACATTTTGGACCCATGAAGGGAGGAAACTTTGGAGGCGGAAGCTCTGGCCCCTATGGTGGTGGAGGCCAATACTTGGCCAAACCACGAAACCAAGGTGGCTATGACAGTTCCAGCAGCAGCAGTAGCTATGGCAGTGGCAGAAGATTTTAATTAGGAAACAAAGCTTGGCAGGAGAGGAGAGCCAGAGAAGTGATAGGGAAGCTACAGGTGACAACAGATTTGTGAACTCAACCAAGCATAGCAGTGGCAGGGCCTAGCTGCTACAAAGAAGACATGTTTTAGACAAATACTCATGTGTATGAGCAAAAAATCTCAAGTACTGTATTTGTGACTAATTGTATAATGGTTATTTTAGTTTCTGTTCTGTGGAAAGTGTAAAGCATTCCAACAAAGGGTCTTAACGTAGATTTTTTTTTCTTTTTTTTTGCGCACCCACGCTGTTGATTGCTAAATGTAATAGTCTGATCATGACGCTGGATAAATGTCTTTTATTTTTCTAATGTGCTGTGTAAAGTTAGTCTACTCTGAAACCATCTTGTTAAATTTCCCCCAGCAGTGTGAAGTTAGAATTCTTTCAGGGTGATGCCAGGTTCTATTTGGAATTTATATACAACCTGCTTGGGTGGAGATGCCATTGTCTTCAGAAACCCTGGTATAGTTGAACTGACAGTTATTATGACCTGAAGCTCACCATTGAAAGGGATTACCCAAGCAAAATCACGGAATTATTGGTTATAAAAATGATTGCTGGCGCATCCTATCCAATATATCTAAATTGAATAACGGTACCAGGTAAAATTATAGATGGGAATGAAGCTTGTGTATCATCCATTATCATGTGTAATTAATAAATGATTTAATTGTTTTGAAAAAATAAAAATACAAATACAAAAATTAGCAAGGTGTGGTGGCTTGTGCCTATAGTCCTGGCTACTTGGGAGGCTGAGGCAGGAGAATCACTTGAACCTGGGAGGCAGAGGTTGCAGTGAGCAGAGATCGTGCCCCTGCTCTTCAGCCTGGGCAACAGAATGAGACTCTGTCTCAATAAATAAATAAATAAAATGAAATTCATAAAACTACTGTGATGATTAATACTGAGTGTCAACTTGATTGGATTGAAGGATACAAAGTATTGATCCTGGGTGTGTCTGTGAGGGTGTTGCCAAAAGATATTAACATTTGAGTCAGTGGGCTGGGAAAGGCAGACCCACCCTTAACCTGGATGGGCACCATCTAACCAGCTGCCAGCATGGCCAGAATATAAGCAGGCAGAAAAATGTGAAAAGAGAGACTGGCCTAACCTCCCAGCTGACATCTTTCTTCCGTGCTGGATGCTACCTGCCCTTGAACATCAGACTCAAGTTCTTCAGTTTTGGAACTCGGACTGGCTCTCCTTGCCCCTCAGCCTGCAGATGGCCTACTGTGGGACCTTGGGATCATGTGAGTTAATACTTAATAAACTCATATATATATATATATATATATATATATATATATATATATTCCATTAGTTCTGTTCCTCTAGAGAACCCTGACTAATACAACTACCTTCAGGCTATGTGTATAAGGTATATATAAAACATAAATGAATTCTGTGTTTAGACCTGGGTCCCATCCCCAAAATATCTCATTATATATACACAAATATTCCAAATTCTAAAAAAAAAAAAAAACCCAAAATCTGGAACACTTCTGATCCCAAGAATTTAGGATAAGGGATATTCAGTGTGTATGTTAAAATATTTAACTATGATTGGAAGTTTGTCTATTTTTCATTTTAATTATGTTAATTTGTGCAGTATATATCTTGAAGCTATGCTATTAGGGGAATGCATAAATAGCATTGTCATGACTTTTTATTGAATCGACTCTTTTAGCATTATGAAATGCCTCTTTCTCTCCGGTAATACTTCTTGTCTTAATATCCACTATGCTCAGCATTAATAGAGCCACACTGGTTTTTCTTGTGATTAGGGCATATGTTGTATAAGGACTTTGTTTAAGTTAATAAATGGAATCCAACCTCTCTAGAACCCATGTAGGATAGGCCCCATATTGTAATCATATCTACTCCCACTGCCGTTAAAGTTGTAGGCGTCACACTTTCAATTCACCATAGCTGGCTGAAACCAGCGGCAGCAGTAACTCCTAACGACGACCAGTGGATTCACAAAAAATACCCAGATCGCTCCACCCGCATAGTCCTATGGCAAAATCCAACCACTGGTAAGAAGGACAACTGCCCTACACTGACCACACCGGAAGCTGGTCGGTCTACACATGGCTAAAGCTTGAGGATCCCGCAAGCTCTGCTCTAGTCACATCCCAGAAGCTGACTAATCTATGCACAGTCAAAGCTAAGAGGACCATCTCTGGATAAGTAAATGTAAATACAATTTATAAGCCTAGTTATAATTCTGTCAATACTGATTGTTCTGTTGTCATGTTATTACTGCAAATGCTGCAAATGTCTATGCCCAGAGGAAGGTTTGCCATGCCTATGTGTAGTGTAAGCATTTTTCTATTACATACACTAATGTTCTTACCATTTCTGCCTATAGTAAAAAAGGAGAAATCTTTAGAAAGATGCCCACATTGTGTACACACTACCTGGGTAAGAAATACCA